CTAGGTGGTCCTGCTCCGGCAGGGGGATTAGGCTAGATGATCCTTTGAGGTCCCTTCCAATCCCTAACATTCTGTGATTCTGTGTGATCTTGAAGGTCCCTTTTAACCCAAACCATTCTGTGATTTTATGATTTTATGATTCTATGATTCTATGAATTTTGCAGCTCCTGGACTCTGCAGTGGAAAAGGATAGTGGCTCCTTCACTGTGCTTTGCTGAGCGCACCCCTTCACATGACCACTGTAGGTGACAAAGTGACGAGAGAACCCAGACCATGAATCCTGACAGCGATCAAACATAGGACAGTCACTAAATCACGACACAGTCCACTGCAGAAAAACATCTGCTTTGTTTGTGTCACCCAACACAGCTCTTTTGAACCAAAATTTAAATATTGAAGATTGGCAGTGATACCAGGTAAGTGAATACCCAGCACATTTACATTCCTGCACCTGCTCTGCTCTGAATAGGAGCAGCACCAAAATCCTCATCACCACCGGCTCTATAAAGCTCCTGTTTCCATACATGACACTCAGGGAACAGCAGCTGCTGGCCTGAGTAAAGCATTGGTGCAACAAACGACTTTTTCCTCCTGGAGGATGGAAGCTTGTTACTCTCAAGATGAATTTAACATCACTTCATACGATGTCACGGCTATGGTCATCACCACGGTTCAGGCACTTGCTGGCATGTGGATAAACGCTTTCATTGTTTCTGTGCTTTGTATTGCTTGGGTCAAAAAGAAAATCTTTAACTCTAATGAGAAGATCTTGCTGTTTCTGGGATGCTCCAGGTTTTGGTATTTGTGCATCACATGGGTATATTCCTTGCTTTCAGCAATTTATCCCTGGTGCTTTTGTATTTACCCCATACCCCAACTACTTGTAGCTATTCAAAGCTTTTTAAATTTTGTCAACGTGTGGGTTTCTGCCTTTCTTTGTGGTTTTTATTGCATAAAAATTGCAAATTTCAGGCACATCTTCTTCATCTACTTGAAGGTAAAAATTGACAGGATCGTGCCATGGCTACTGTTGGGTTCAGTGCTTTTATCCCTGGTCATCTGTATCTTTGTCTACGACATGATTGATGAAGTGCACTGTAACAACCTCAATTTCACCACCCTGGGAAATCTCTGGAAACCAAGAGTCAAAGTGAATGAACACTTTTTCACTATTTTTTTAATCACTGGCTTTGGATTGGCCACTGCATTCATGGTAGTTATCATTTCTGCCCTTCTCCTCCTCTTTTCTCTCTGGAGACACAAACGCAAGATGCAGAAAAACTCAGTGAAGAACCTCAGCATGGATGTCCATATCAAAGCCATGAAATCTATTCTGTCCTTTTTCGTCATTTACAGCATTAACTTTACATGTTTGATCTTGATACTAGTTTACTACAGGAAGAAGGAAAATCCTGCGATGTTTCTCGTTTTAGTATTTCAGTATGTTTTTCCAGTTGTTCATTCTTTTATGCTGATTTTCAGCAATCCCAAAATGGAAAAGACACTGCTAAGGACTCTGTCCTGTGTGAAGTGCAAGGTTTTCATGAGGTAGGAAATGTAATAAAAGCTGGCGTCCATTAAAAATGTTGGTATTTTATTATAAAGCCCAAGTAATTTAATCGCTAATGCAACTCTCCAGACAGTGTAAATGATACAGATGTTCTATCTTCACCATCTAAGTTAAGAAAACTTCATTAAATTTTTTCAAACTAAATTATTATGAGTTAAAGAAAATATTATAATAATTTGATTTAGATAATTCTTTGAGTTTAATTATTGTCAATAACAAAGTAATTCAGACCTGGTACAAGGGCTGGCTGCCAAAAGAGGAATAACGATACTGCAAACCTTCTAAAAATGCTTTGGAGTTTGTCGATCGACACTACTTAACTAAACAACATGTTTATATCTATTTTGTTTTACTTTTGTTTCTGCTCTGGCTGTGTAATTTGTAATACTATGAGTTGTATCGCTATCTTGCATCGGTTTGTAACTTATGTGTGAATATGTTGATCACTGTTATTCACCAGAGGCAGCTGCTGACTTATAAACAGCAATGAGAAATGGCCTCAGGGTGGACAGGCAGGGTGGAAAGCCCACTTCCCACGTCAGCCTTACATGTCCTTTCTCTGCCCCACTTCATGCAAAAACATTATTTCCCCACTCTGTGTGACTGCTCTCCTAGCCTGCTTTTCCTTTTTTATGAGATCTGCTTTTACCAATGGACTCTGGCTCGGTACAACACCGAGGAAGGTGGTTTTTATGTAAAGTGCCATGTGGAATAAAGTTATGCTTTCATCTCACAGTGACCCATGGGCAGATGTATGTGGTGCTCGTGCCACGTGGTGGGCAGCTGCAGGGTCTGGGAGGATCTCTGTGAGGCAAGGTCAAGGCTGCCCTGCACCAGGGAAAGCCAGTTCCAGCTGGCTCCAATGGACAAACCGCGGGACACAGCTCAGCCCATCAGCGATGCTGGTGGCTCCTCTGGGAAAATATACTTAAGAAAGGGCCAAAACATTGCCCAGCAGTAAGGAGTGCAGAAAATTGTAAGAAACAGTCCTGCAACAGGCAGAGCCAGAAAAGGAAGGGGAGGAGGTGCTTGCCGGAGCAGGGATTTACCTGCAGCCCATGGAGAGGACCATGGTGATGTAGGTTGTTCCCTTGCAGCCCGTGGATGACCATGATGCAGCAGATATCCACGCTGCAGCCTGTAGAGGACCCCACATTGGAGTAAGTAGACAAAACCTGAAAGACTGTAGCTCATGGAGACCCCACATTGAAGGATTGTCTCCCATGAGAGAGATCCCACACCGGAGCAGGGGAAGAGCTTGAGGAGGAAGGAGTGGCAGAGACAACACATTATGGACTGACCATAAGCTCCATTCCCCATCCCCCTGCACCACTCAGGGGATGGATGTAGAGGAGCTGGGAGTGAAGAAGTGAAGTTGAGCCTGGGAAGAAGGGGTGGTGGAGATAAGGTTTCTTAGTTCTGTATTTGTCTCTCACCATCCTACTCTATTTTCAATTGGCAATAAATTAAATCGGTTTTCCTCAAGTCAAGTCTGGTTTGCCCATGACGGTAATTAGTGAGTGATCTCTATCTCGACCCATGAGCTTTTCCATCTTATTTTCCACCCCTGTCCCACTGAGGAGCGAGAGTGAGGGAGCAGCTGGGTGGAGGTCCAGCAGCTGGTCAAGGCCAACCCACCACAGCAGATCACCTAAATATGAAATTGTTTCAGCATGAACAGAGCAGAACCTGAATTGTTCATTTCTTTTATCAGCTCAGGCTCAGAGGGATGTCTTACCTCATGTCAAGTGCCAAGTGCGCATTTTTCATGCGCCTTGGCAGGTTTTGTTTCTGCTTCTGTTTTAAACACACCCAGAAGGAGTACATTTGCTAGGTGTGGAGCCCAAACCTCAGAGGTCTCCTGAAACTCTGCAGGATTCACATATATCTGAAATGCTCCCCAGTGAGTCATCTTAGGTGTAGCATCAGCCCTGCTCGACATGGATTCACTCTATAAGAAGCTGTTGAGCTTTCTCTCTGCTGCATTTTTGAGAACAAATTTTAGTGTATTTCTACTAGCAGAAGGCTTCTCAGGTCTTCTATTCCCCCGATAAAGGAGATGTGGTCATCTTGTAGGACAACGTGAAGGACTCACTAATTTCTGTCTACTCTCTATTAGAAATCAAACCAGAGGAAAAGTTTCTGCTCAGAAAACACAAGTTGCCCTGGGATGCTAATTTGAAAAGTTGAAGTGAAGGTGAAAAAGCTTAGTTTGTAAGTTTTTTATTTTAAGGGTTGCCTTTTCCTTGGGCAAAAGAGCACTCCCTTCCTTCTTCTTCTCCATCTCCACAAAAATGAAAGGGGAAGAGGTTAATAAGAAAGCATAAGAAAGTGTTTTTGAACGATTAGCTTTCACTTTTTTTTTCTGGCTTTTCCTGCAGTAGTAAAGCAAAAAAAAATTACATTCATGTTGTTCCACTAAAAAGAAAGGGTTTGAGTTATCTGATCAAAATTAGACACTCAGAGCACTTTGCCTTCAGCTGCAACTCAGATCAGACGTCAAACTCTGCTGAGTCTCACTCACTTCCACAGGAGGAGACACTCTTTACTACCCACATTTCCCAAGGGAGGCAGATCTTAAAACATCTCCTCTGGACACAGGTCCACAGCTGAAAGGTCTTTAAAGGACAGGGACCACCACACCTGCCTCCTTTCCATGCTGTTGCTCAATGCAGTTGATCCTTTAGCATGACAGTCCCAATCTCTTTACAAAAAGACCATGGAAAATCCTTCTTACTTTCTACATCCCATGTAACATCATCCCTCAAAAGCTCACACACCACAAGACTGAGCAGGCAAAACCAACATCTTGCAGATGTTGTCATACAAAAGAATACAGCCCTAGCATACTATGTTGAAGATACCTTCTCCCATCTCATGAAACCCCCATGAACATAAAGCCCATTACAGCATCACTCCTCCCATGCACCAGCCCCATCCAGCTGGCACTAGAGGAGACAGGTTATAAACCACCACAGCCACAGTGCACAGCCCATATGCTAGAAGTTGCTCTCTGGAGGGATGCAATGGTGTGCCTAGCCCTGGGGAAAATGTTCCTCAACTACAGGACACTCCACCAGCTGGCCTCAGGGCTAGAAACAGGCTGTTTAGTTTATCAGCATGGCAACAGGTACTCCATCCCACGTATGTATCCACTTGCACGGCCACTAATTCAACAGGCAGGCCAACTGTGAGTGCAGTTGATGTTTCATATGGCTTGGAAAGCACAAATGACAAAAGACAAAGTTAGATCTTGATTTGTTTGCCCAAACATAGGCATCTTGAGTCATCTGAGAAGTCCTAGGGTATCTGAGACATCTGCACGGGGTTGGGAGCTACAGCACAGGATCTTCTGGAGACCTGCAGGGTCAGCCTGGGTACTCGAGAGCATCTCGAGTGGCATTAGGCACCTCTGTGTAGACAGCTGAATTAGTCCCTGGATATCTAGAAGAGGGAGATGGATCAGAGAGTTGTCGGTTGCGATTGTGATGCCTGAGTGTTGTGGCTGGGTGTGAAGGACACCTGTAACCAAGGCGCTCCAGAAGGACCAGGTTTGGGTGGTGGAGGGGAAGCAGAGGGGAAGGGAGGCAGACACATAAGGGGAGGAGAAGTGGACACATAAAAGATGTCAGAAGTAATCATGAACAGCTACCCAGTGCTGGCATGGTATGGAAAACTGCATTGGGTCAAATTCAAAATTTTATGATTGAGAAGTGAAACAGTTAAAAATGCTTTTTCCATGGAAAGTGTTGATGAGCAGAGGGATAGCTCAGAACCAGATCCACAGCATTCCTATGAGCATAAACATAAAAATGCCTGAGGGCACTGCTAAAAACAAGGCAGTGCTCTAACTGTCTTGGCAGACACAGATGTCTGAAAGCAGTAACAAGAGAGCATGTTTCCCCTTCTGCTGGGCGAGGAATGGTAGATAAAGGCTGTTAGACCCATGTGTCCAGTAAAAGGTCAACATCAATGTCTCTCCTTCAGACAGAAGAAGCAACTACACCCCACTCTCAAAGAAAAGAGAGGCAACACCAGAGCCTTAGAAGCCCCTATAGAGCCTCCTGGTTGACTCAGGACCAGAAGCAAACAAATAAAAGCCACAGACATCACCAGAGTGAGCAGAACCACAGAACCAGATGCTTTCATGAGTCAATTAGGAGCAAATTCAATTCCCTCTTGGATAATACCAGGAACTGCTGTCATTTCTGTAAATCTATACATTTCAGTAACGTATTGGTATACTTGAACATCTTCAGCAGTTTTCTGATATTTGAGATCTGATACATACAGACACACAGACAGAAGCACTTCTGTCTGTTCCCTGTTAATGACAGTATTGACAGTACACCACAAAGATGTGTTCTTGCAGCCATCTGCGTCTGCTGTTCATCCATATTTCACTCTGCAGATACATCTGAGGTCTGCCAGTGTCTTCGCTCTGCACTCAGAGTTGTCAGTGGCACCGAACAGGCAGGGCACACTACTGCTTCCCCTTTTTTTCCTCATTTTTCTTTGGAGCAGAGGATGCGTAGTTCTCTCGAGAACATGGTGGGTTTCTCTTAAGCTCTTCTTTCTTGAGTTCCCACTCTTCATCTCTCTGATCTAAGAGGACTCCTTTCATTGCAGCTGTCCTGCGATAGTTTCTGCTCTCCACCTCTGCTCTGGGGAAGAAAGCAAGGATGCATCTTCAGATACTGAGCACTGCACAGTCACACCACTGTTCAGGAGTGACCCATCTGCAGGATTGTGTATTTGTATGGTCAAAACACTGTTGCCAGCAATACATGAGAAAACACTGAGACTCATCCCAAATCCAACAGCATTTGTCACCCCAAGTGACCAGGTACTCACTGAGAGTTGGGATGAAACAGGAAACCTTCAGTAAGGATTTATGGTAAGATCGGACTCACCATTGGAATAATAATTTTAACTATAAAAAGCTCTCAAAGACTGATCTTGGCAATTTGTGTGCTATTAAA